GGCGCGGATTTAAATTAGGACGTTTCTTTCTTTTTCTTTCTTTCTTGTTTTTTCTTTCTTTCTTCTTTTCTTTCTTTCTTGTTTTTCTTTCTTTCTTCTTTTCTTTCTTTCTTCTTTTCTTTCTTTCTTCTTTTCTTTCTTTCTTGTTTTTCTTTCTTTCTTCTTTTCTTTCTTTCTTGTTTTTCTTTCTTTCTTCTTTTCTTTCTTTCTTCTTTTCTTTCTTTCTTGTTTTTCTTTCTTTCTTCTTTTCTTTCTTTCTTTTCTTTCTTTCTTTTTTTTTTTTTCTTTCTTTCTTTTCTTCTTTTCTTTCTTCTTTTCTTTCTTTCTTCTTTTCTTTCTTTCTTCTTTTTCTTTCTTTCTTCTTTTCTTTCTTTCTTCTTTTCTTTCTTGTTTTTCTTTCTTTCTTCTTTTCTTTCTTTCTTTTTTCTTTCTTTTTTCTTTCTTTCTTCTTTTTTCTTTCTTTCTTTCTTTTCTTCTTTTCTTTCTTCTTTTCTTTCTTTCTTGTTTTTCTTTCTTTCTTCTTTTCTTTCTTTCTTCTTTTTCTTTCTTTCTTCTTTTCTTTCTTTCTTCTTTTCTTTCTTGTTTTTCTTTCTTTCTTCTTTTCTTTCTTTCTTGTTTTTCTTTCTTTCTTCTTTTCTTTCTTTCTTCTTTTCTTTCTTTCTTGTTTTTCTTTCTTTCTTCTTTTCTTTCTTTCTTCTTTTTCTTTCTTTTTCTTTCTTTTCTTTCTTTTTTTCTTTCTTTTTTTTTTTTCTTTTTTGTTTTCTTTCTTTTCTTTCTTTTTCTTTTCTTCTTTTCTTTCTTTCTTTTTTTTTCTTTCTTCTTTTCTTTCTTTCTTCTTTTTTCTTTCTTTCTTCTTTTTCTTTCTTTCTTTTTTCTTTCTTTTTTCTTTCTTTTTTTTTCTTTTCTTTCTTTCTTTTCTTTCTTTTTTTTCTTTTCTTTTCTTTCTTTCTTTCTTTCTTTCTTTTTCTTTCTTTTTTCTTTCTTTTCTTTTTTCTTTCTTTTTTCTTTTCTTTCTTTCTTTTTTCTTTCTTTTTTCTTTTCTTTCTTTCTTCTTTTCTTTCTTTCTTCTTTTCTTTCTTTCTTCTTTTCTTTCTTTTTTTTTTCTTTCTTTCTTCTTTTCTTTCTTTCTTCTTTTCTTTCTTTCTTCTTTTTCTTTTCTTTCTTCTTTTTTTCTTTCTTCTTTTTTTTTCTTTTTCTTTCTTTCTTTCTTTTTTCTTTCTTTCTTCTTTTCTTTCTTTTTTCTTTCTTTTTTCTTTCTTTCTTTTCTTTCTTTCTTTTCTTTCCTTTCTTCTTTTTCTTCCTTTCTTCTTTTCTTTCCTTTCTTCTTTTCTTTCTTTTATTTTTTTCTTCCTTTCTTCTTTTCTTTTTTCTTTTCCTTTCTTTTTTCTTTCTTTTTTTCATTTTCTTTCATTTTTCTTTTCAGTTTTCTTTCTTTCTTTTCTTTCTTTCTTCTTTTCTTTTTTTTCTCTCTGTATTCTTTTTTTTCTTTCTTTCATTTTTTTTTCTTTCTTTCTTTTTTTCTTTCTTTGTTTTTTTCTTTCTTTCTTCTTTTCTTTCTTTTTCTTTTTTCTTTTTTTTTCTTTTTTTCTTTCTTTTTCTTTCTTTTCTTTTTCTTTCTTTTTTCTTTTTCTTTCTTTCTTCTTTTTTCTTTCTTTCTTCTTTTTCTTTTTTTTCTTTCTTTCTTTTTTCTTCCTCTTTTCTTTTTTCTTCCTTTCTTTTTCTCAGGTTTTCTTTTCTTTTTCTTATTATTCTTTCTTTCTTTTCTCTGTTTTCTTTCCCTTTCTTTATTTCTTTCTTTTAATCATTATGTATGCATTCTCTTTCTCTCAGTTTTTCTTTCCTTTCTTTCTTTCAATTATTATGAATGCTTCCTTTTTTTCTCTGTATTCTTTCTTTTTCTTTCTTTCCATTTCTTTTTCGGTCGTTCTTTCTTTATTCTTCTTTCTTTCCGTTTTTCTTTCTTTTGTTCTTTCTTTCTTTCTTCCTTTCTTTCCTTTTTTCTTTTTTCCTTCTTTTTCTTTCCTTCTTTTTTTCTTTCTTTCATTTTTTTTTCTTTTTTTATTCATTTTGTTTCTTTTTTCTTTTCTAATCTTTCTTTTTCTTTCATTATTTTCTTTCTTTCTTTCTTTCTTTCTTGCTTGCTTGCTTTCAGTTTTTACATCTCGTTTCTGTTTCTCAGGTTTCAATCTTTTCTTTCTTTCTTTCCTTCTTCCTTTCTTTCTTTCTTTCCTTCTTCCTTTCTTTCTTTCTTTCTTTCCTTCTTCCTTTCTTTCTTTCCTTCTTCCTTTCTTCCTTTCTTTCCTTCTTCCTTTCTTTCCTTCTTCCTTTCTTTCTTTCAGTTTTTACATATCGTTTCTGTTTCTCAGGTTTCAATCTTTTCTTTCTTTCTTTCCTTCTTCCTTCCTTTCTTCCTTGTTTTTTCTTTCCTTCTTCCTTTCTTTCTTTCTTCCTTTCTTTCTTTCCTTCTTCCTTTCTTCCTTTCTTTCCTTCTTCCTTTCTTTCCTTCTTCCTTTCTTTCCTTCTTCCTTTCTTTCTTTCATTTTTTACATCTCGTTTCTGTTTCTCAGGTTTCAATCATTTCTTTCTTTCTTTCTTTCTTTCTTTCTTTCTTTCTTTCTTTCTTGCTTTCTTTCTTTCTTTCTTTCTTTCCTTCTTCCTTTCTTTCCTTCTTCCTTTCTTTCCTTCTTCCTTCCTTTCTTTCTTTTTTTCTCACTTTCTTTCTTTCTTTTTCACACTAAACCCAAACTGCGTCTCACCACGTCTTCAGTTTTCGTACGCATTCAAAACACTATGGACCATTCTTTATCTTAAGTTAATGATAAAGTGTAACCCGGGAACTAATTAACCTAATAATTTACTAACTTGTGGGGGGGACAAGTACACTTAAATATGAATCAGGTATAAGGAAATTTCAGGATAAAATGTATTTCAAAATTGTTGGCATTGTCACTCGCATCTTTATTCAATATTATTCATTTAAAATTAGTTTAACATTATTCAATTAATGCTAATTTAATATTATTCCCTATGAAGATTTTATTCATAAAACAAATGTAATAAAAATAGAGGTTAATAGTTATTTATGTTTTTGACAGGAAAAAATGATGTTAAATTTTTGCGCCAGATCTAATATTGTAAGGTATTCTAAAATAAAAGAATAATTAGCAGATCAAGACAAGGCAGAATGATCTCTTAAAAATACGTAAATTTACTTGAATTATAAAAAATAATTTCTTAATCTTATTTTTTCTAGAGTTTTTCCTTGGAAATGTTCAGAAAACTCTTTCAGTAATTTTAATGTTTTCTTAATCTGTCTATATTACTGAGATGAGGTAATGTAATTATTTACACTATTTACATTGTTCGGACTGTTATCTTATCTTCGTTGTTATATTCACGACGTTTAGACCGTTGTACGCTCCGGCCTTCTTTTATATATGTCGATATTTCTGACAAGAGGTATTGTAATTATTTACACTATTTACATTGTTCGGACTGTTGTCCTCATCTTCGTTGCCATATTCACGACGTTTAGACCGTTGTACCTTCCGGCCTTCTTCAGGACCTGTCTATATTTCTGAGATGAGGTATTGTAATTATTTACTCTATTTTCATAGGTCGGACTGTTGTCCTCATCTTTATTTCATTTTTACGACGTTTCATTCGTTATAGACTTCGGCCTTCTTCAGGATGTGACTATATTTCTGAAGTGAAAGATTTTATCTATTTACACTGATTACATTGTTCGGACAGTTGTCCTCATCTTTACTGAAATATTTCCGACGTTTCTGTCGTTGTAGGCTCCGGCCTTCTTCAGGATCTGCCTATATTTCTGATATGAGGTATTTTAAAAATTTAGAATATTTACATTGTCCGAAATGTTGTCCTCACCTTTTATTCACAACGTTTCGGGCGTTGTAATCTCTGACCCTCTTTAGCTGATATTTTTTTTAAATTTCGAACCGCACTCAGAATTGTCAATATTGGAGTTTCTGAAGATTGGTTTGTCTTTCATATATATATATATATATATATATATATATATATATATATATATATATATATGAAGAATTTCTTCGAAAGGTGTTGTGTTCTGCGGCTTTTATTCCACTTAAGTCTAGTGAATTATTTTGTTTGTTTTATTAAGAACAACATCGTAATTTGTTTAACCAATATGGAACTCAATTAATAAGGCAATATATCTATTTCTAGCAGTTGTAATGTTTTGTTAAACTTAATTTTTAACAAAGACGTTTCTTTGAAGAATTTTAATGAATTTAATATTTTTCTCTATGACTAGTTTTAATCTGAGAATATTTCACGGTTTCTCTATTTCAATATTCTGATGAATCTTAATTCATAAATTAATACTTGAATTAGCTCAGAGTTGGCCGTTATTTTAAGAAATATGTGGGTACAAATGAAATGGTTTGAAATTGAATTTTTTTTTTCCCATTTCACTGAAAGAGATATTCAGCACTTCTATCTTTCCTTCTTTTTTATTGTATTCATTTTCTCATGGCATCATATTTCCCGCCTCGCCCGACATGATCAAAACGGAATAGTCCATTTTTTATGAGGTACAGGGGAAGGGCGTTAAATACTTTTATCTTCACATTCCTTTCTGTCTTTCTTTTTCGCTTTCTAGCTGTCAGTCTTTACTTAATTCATGTTATTCTTTCTTTCATTTTTCTTTTTTGCTTTCTTTCTGTAGTGATTTACTTAATCCGTGTCTTTTTTTCTCTCTCTCTTTCTTTCTTTCTTTCGTTCTTTCTTTCTTGCTTTCTTTCTCTCTTTCTTTCTTTCTTTCGTTCTTTCTTTCTTTCTTTCTTTTTCGCTTTCTTTCTTTCTTTCTGTCAATGCGTTACTTAATTCATGGCTTTCTTTCTTTCATTTTTTGTTCTTCCTTTCTTTCTTTTTTGCTTTCTTTTTTTTTTTCTTTCTTTCTTTCTATCTTTTTGGCTTTTTTTCTTTCTTTCTCTCAATGCGTTACTTAATTCATGTCTTTCTTTCTTTTTTCTTTCTTTCTTTTTTGCTTTCTTTTTTTCTTTCTTTCGTTCTTTCTTTCTATCTCTCTTTTTTTGCTTTTTTCTTTCTTTCTGTCATTGTGTTACTTAATTCATGTCTTTCGTTCTTTCTTTCTTTCATTTTTTCTTTCTTTTTTCTTTCTTTCTTTTTTTTTTTCTTTCTTTCTTTTTCGCTTTCTTTCTTTCTTTATTGCTTTTTTAGTTCTTTCTGTCATTGTGTTACTTAATTCATGTCTTTCTTACTTTCTTTCTTTTTTTCTTTCGATCGTTCTTTATTTCTTTCTTTTTTGCTTTTTTTCTTTCTTTCTGTCAATGTCTTACTTAATTCATGTTTTTCTTTCTTTCGTTCGTTCTTTCTTTCGTTTTTGCTTTCTTTTTTCTTTCTTTCGTTCTTTCTTTCTTTCTTTCTTTTTTGATTACTTTTTTCTTTCTTTTTTACTTTTTTTCTTTCTTTCTTTCTTTTTTTGCTTTCTTTCTTTCTTTCTGTCAATGCGTTACTTAATTCATGTCTTTCTTTCGTTCGTTCGTTCTTTCTTTCTTTTTTATTTTTTTTTTTTTCTTTCTCTCAATGCGTTACTTGATTCATGTCTTTTTTCTTCCTTTCTGTCAGTGATTTATTTAATCCATAGTGGGGGAGCACGCACAATTATTATATGATTCATAAAAACATATATAGTGATGATAAGAATTAATTTTCTATGACTATTTTTGTTTCTTTGTAAAAAGATTATTTTAATTTATTAATCCAATTTTTGTCGAGTCATTCAGTAAGTTCAATTTAATTGGGTTAAGCTGAATTTCTATCAAAGACATCTCTTTTAGTTAATCCTGTTTCTACACTGAAAAAATTTATTTTAAAGTACCATTTTTTCTTACGGAGTTCATTCATACTTTCTCTCCATGATACTTTTATTCATAAAAACATAAATATTGATGATAAATTAATTTTCTATGGTTAATTTGTGTTTTCTTGCTAAGTGATTTTTTTAAGCTATGTTAGTTTTTCACTTCGTTTACTTATAAAAACGTAAAAGAAAAAAAATATATCATTAACGATTATATTCATAACGAAATATGCTTTTATTGCAAAATTCAAACATTTTAAATTAGGCCACCATTTTAGACCTTAGTTGCCCCATGAGTAGTCCTATATTATAGATCGATATTTTTGTTTAGTTTGAGTCACTATTTTGGTTTTCAGGCAGAGTTCTTTCTACTCTAATGATTTTTCTCTGTTTTAATTCACGTTGTATAGTGTTGTTTTTCAGACATGTTAACAGTAGTAAACTTCCTGCCGTTTGATTCTTTGCTATATAGTTATTTATGCTATTACCAAAATATGCAAATATCTTACTGTGTCATCAGACATTTGTTTGTTTGAAAATCCAATTTACTTGATTTTTTGGAATTTTCATTTTCTCAAAGCTGTTATGTAGTTAAGTAGAAGCCTTATTGTATCTTCCTTTCATTCAATTCAGATTTTTTTTTAATTCTTCAATAGTTTCTGTTCAAATTTAAAGTCTGTTATAATCACCTCATGGGCACAACATTTTTTCCCTGATCACGCAACCGAAATATATGAGAAATTATATATATATATATATATATATATATATATATATATATATATATATATATATATATATATATATATGTATCGGAGCACTATTTTTGAAAAATAATAACAAAAAATACTAAAAGGTACTTTTTGGATTATTTACCTAACGAGTTCTTTCCTATTTTCTATATATTTTCACACACACACACACACACACACCCACACACACACACACACACATATATATATATATATGTATGTATCCCATTATTGATTATCTATCGAAATAGCTAACTAGCTATCAATCACGCTAGGTTTCTCTCTCTGTCTCTCTCTAAATATTTATAATTATAGCATTTTCCATAATTTATTACGATACTACTAAATATAAGAATACAAAAATAGTAAAATTATTTAATGAGACATGATTGCATATACAGTTATGTATATACACTTATATATACACTTATATATATATATATATATATATATAATTTAGTGGAAAATATACATACATATGAAAAATTTACGATTCAATGGAATAAATTATGACCATGGAATATTAGTGTTTAAGCCTTTTTTTTTATTATATATATATATATATATATATATATATATATATATATATATATATATATATATGTGTGTGTAGTTGTCCCTGTTTAATCTGTCAAGCTTCATTATGGCCGATTCAGTTTAGGATCTCTCTCACACTCTCATATATATATATATATATATATATATATATATGTGTGTGTGTGTGTGTGTGTGCGTGTTCTTTAATACGAAAGTTTTTGTGTAAACCTTGGTCTACATAATAAAATCTGACGTAATTTTTATACGACTCCGAATCTCTGTGGGTGGTAGTAAGTATCAAGAACACGGCGAGCCTTTTCTTCTGCTGCGTCAGATTGGGAGCTGTCATTTTAATGTTCTCGATCCGTCTGAAATCTGGCGCATGCTGCGCCATATTGCCTTCATTCATCTTCCTTTTATTGCTTGCTACATCTAACTTCCAAAAATACCTGTCTCAATCATATATATATATATATATATATATATATATATATATATATATCTAACTAAAAAAATGTGTATATATGTAGATATGTATATATACATATATATATATATATATATGTATATATATATATATATATATATATATATACAGACATATATATATATATATCTATATTCCTATATGTATATATGTATATATATACTCATCTTAAAACCTATATAAATTCATATATATATATATATATATATATATATATATAATATATATATATATATATATATATATATATATACATTTATATGTATTTATAAGCACATATATATGCATATACATATATATATACAAATACCTGACTTAAAAAAACTATATATATATATGTATATATGCATAAATATATATTATATATATATATATATATATATATATATATATATATATATATATATATATATATATTTACTGTATGGATATGAGTTAGCGACCCTGTCAAAATGCATTTACGATCATCAGACAAACTGTTTTATTTAATAAAATGAATCAATTTATGCTTGTTTATATTGTGCAACTTATAATAAGTACTGCGCATATATATATATATATATATATATATATATATATATATATATATATATATATATATATATATATATAGGTGAATCAAAAATATTTTAGAAACTCGTTTGGTGAGTTTCCCACACCTAAACAAGGTGAAAAGACCTTATAAACATATGGGGTTAAAGAAAACTTTTAGAAATGAACGGAAACCCAACCTACACTAGAACCAAGGAATAAAGCTCTACTGTTTTCCATTAAATAGGAAAGGATGTTAAACAGGGCAATATGTGATCCTACCTACAGGGATTTGTTTATATGGCATTTTATCCTTGTTTCATTATTAGGAACCTACCCTCAAGGTTTGTTATATATGAATAAAGTGTCGCTGAACTGTATTTTGAACTGATCACTATTCTATTACTGTTTGGATCCCTATTCGGTGTTTACTTACGATTTCGAGCGAGTATTATCGAGCAGATGCTATTAGTTCGAGTGTTTATCGAAGGTACCTGACATCAGTATTGTTCAACGGCGTTACTATAGTTGTATCTGCGATTACAAAGTCTACAACGACCATTACGAAAGTGACAACGAGTATTCGTTGACGTTACTAAAGTAGCAACGCGTGTTCGTTGACATTACAAAGGTATTCTTGATAATATATATATATATATATATATATATATATAGAAAAAGTTTCAAATTAAAAATTATAATGTTTTATTTTATGAAAGTATTTATTTATTTATATATATATTTGATATTTCAAATTGTCCTCAATTTTTCATCAGAAATAACTGTTTGTTACAAATAAATTAAAATTACTGTTTGTTGGCAAGTAGCGTCCTTCGCGAGAGACGCAGACGTCACGTGATATGGAACGTCACTGTTCAGATATTCTAACTTAAATCTAACTGTCATAAATATTTTAAAAATATTTTTTTACTATATCTAAAGAAATTGCTTAGCTATTGAAATATTTGTAAAGATTTAAAACACCTAAGTCCCTATTCAACAGTAATTTTAATTTATTTGTAACAAACAGTTATTTTGATGAAAATTGAGGAAATTTGAAATATCAAATATATAAATAACAATAAATAAATAAAAATAAAACATTATATTTAAGAAATATATGGCTTCTCATTATATATATATATATATATATATATATATATATATATATATATATATATATATATATATATATATATATATATATATATATATATTATTTTTAAAATATTCTTTTAGATATTTTATTTAAATATTTTTAAACTATTTTTTTAAATATATTTTGTTTTATTGTCTCTTTGGTTAACTCTATCAATTTTACAACTGTTGTCAATTTTGTTTAAAATATCTAATTTTAAATTTCCAGTTCCGATTGAATACAGTCCATCGTTTGCCTTGAATAAAGCTGAACATGGACTTTAGTTGAATAATCTATGCTCATGTGTTATATATATATATATATATATATATATATATATATAGTTTATGCAAACTTAGGTAATCCGTATGGGTAGACCTGAGGAGGATGATATCCAGAGAGTTCAATATAAAATTCAGAGCATATATATATATATATATGTGTGTGTTTGTGTGTGGAGGGTGGACTCTCTCGTCGTATTCGCCTGATGAGGGTCAGGCATCTCAGCTCCTAGGAACCGACAGTGGAACACTAGCATATGTTTTGATTATAATGGCGAAGGCTTTGTGCAAAAACCCCCTTTTTGAAGTTTACTATATATATATATATACACACACACACACATATATATATATATATATATATATATATATATATATATATATATATATATATATATATATATATATATATACATATATATATATATATATATATATATATATATATATATATATATATATATATATATATATATATATATATATATACAGAAAACGATTGTATCACTTTGTTTGTGATAAGTAACATTTGTCATGTGACGGACCGCTTAGTGACGTCACTTCATACAAAGTTTGTCAAAGTATTTTGATACAATCTCTCTTTATATATATATATATATATATATATATATATATATATATATATATATAATGAATCCACACAAAAGATCGACAAACTATTGGAAGAGATATTCTTAAAAAACATCTTTAATTGTTATTTCCTCTCTTCCCCAGCTCTCTAGTAATTAGTTTTCTTCCTTTCTCTTAATTAATTTTCTTTCTTTCTTTTTTTTCTTTCTTTCTTTCTTTTCATCTTTCTCTTCCTAGCTCTCTCGTTCACTTACTGTCTGTCTACCTCTTTTTCTTATTTCTTTTTTTTCATCTTTTACTTTAGCAACTGGTATGAATGAGTTGGCACAAATTATCCGACTCAATTCGCCATGTTTTAAGATCATTCAACGTCGTTCTTTCAAGAAAACTCTAATAGATATTTAATGACACTCGTTTTTTTTTTATCTTCCTTCACCAATTCATCAGAGAATTAGGGGGGGGGGGGCTGAATCGAGGGGACGTTGTAAAAGAATA